CCGGTGCCCTCCACTGCTCCCGCGTTGGCAGGGAGGAAGCGGACCCGGCTCGCGCCGCTCACCCCCAGCCCGTCGCTCCAGCGCCAGCTCCGGTCTCCCGCAGGGTCCCGCCGGTTCAGGCCGATCCAGAACCAGTGCTGCTCGTGGATCTCCGGCTCCGCTTCACTAGAGGAAGCCACAGGGAAACGGTGGGAACAAGGCAGCCCGCCGAGTTGGCATACATTTAGCATCAGCCCTTCTTTTTGGCTGTTTTAGACACCCGCTGTGCCCCTGAGTCCTAAAGGCAGGAGCTCAGGCAAAAGGAGCTCTGTCCCACGCCTCCTCAGGAGCAAAGCTGCTTTAAATCCGAGCTCTGTCCCCAAATTACCCCTTACTTCATGCATTTCTATCGTGTCCCCTTTCCAGGGGCAGAGATGAACATATATTTGTGCCACGAGCATCAGTGCGTTCACCCAGGTAGGCGCACGCTCTGGCAGACCCAGCTCCTCACCCAAAGATCTTGTTGAGGGTGTTGGCCACGAAGTGCTCCTCCTCGTAGCTGCCCAGGCTGAGCAGCTGGGCCCCCAGCTCCCGGCAAAACTCCTGCGCCGCGATCCACGTCTTCTTCTCTTGCAGTTTGTCAGAGTTGAACACCTGGCAAGGGAGAAGTAGGCCGAGGAGAGGGCTCAGGAGCGGGCAACCCAGGAGCACAGCGCCCAGGCTGAGACGCCCAAAGTGGGAAAACTTCAGCGGCATCAAGGTCCAGGTCTCTCAGGGCATCCTCGCTCCATCCCAAATGCTCGCGGCAAGCTCGACCCTCCTCGGCCGCCACCGTGCGCCCTGGGCTGGGGGGTCTGCAACGCCTCCAGGGCACCCTATGGGACATGAGTCCTGAAGCTGCTATTCCCCCTCCTTTCTGGATCTGCTTCTCCATCAGCAGAGCTCACCCGATCCCCTGTCCTAGCAGAGCTTTTTCTCCATCCCAACAGAGCAGTCACCCCATCATGCCCACGCGCCTTCCCTGCGG